TTTTGTTTTCCTTATTGCCCCCTACTTGTCTTTACATCTCCACAGTAGGCTTTATGTGCAAATACGCATTGCATAACTTTTTCAGTCTAATGAATGAAAAGAAAAAGTTTTTTTTTTTTTAAATCTGAGATTTATATGGCTATACCTATCGGCATATTAAGTTTTCTCAATCTAAAAATCTGTAATAAGAAGGTGAAAAGATAAATCTGAATGTAGCCCTCACATTAGGGGTCTTTGTTGAATGTAAACTAGATTTAATGTATGTGGAGAGGAATAGAAATATTATTAATGACAATATGTATATCGCAGGATAAATCATTATGTGGATGATCTTCACTTGGGTTACATTTTAAGATCTAACAAGCCTGCTTGGTGGGCCTGCAGCATGATTTGACTTTAATTACTATACCGGCAGGCTCATTATTTTTTCCTTTTCCCTACACTTGATTAAGTTAATCAGTTTTCGCTCCTTTTGTTCCATTAAACATTTGTGCTCTATATTATGTGTTTATTTCACATTTCTGTGAAAAAGTAAGTGAAACCACAGTGTTTGTGTTAATGTTAAAAAAAAAAATGTTTTATTAGGTGACACTCCTGTACATAAGCATACAGTATAATTAATTATGTATCTTACATTTTATTAAAGTGTCTATATTCTCTTTGATCGGATTTGTGTGATATGCGCTTGTCAATTAATTTTCACCAATGAAGAAATTTTGCTTTTGGAAAGAAAAAGAATAATGGTCTGCGTCTTGAATGAATGAAGTGTCACAAGTAGCCCTCCCACAGATTAAGCAGATTAATTATATATATATATATATATATATATATATATAGATTAAGCAGAGTTAATTAATTATATATATATATATATATATATATATATATATATATATATATATATATATATATATATATATATATATATATATATATATATATATATATATATATATATATATATATATATGTTGGGTGCCCTTAGAGATTATGTTTGTCATGAATTGCTGTTAAGTAGGTAAACTGAAACAGATTCAATCAAATTTATTAATCTACAAAATTACAGTAATGTAATGTGAAAACACCCAGATGGCTGCCTGCATTAATATTCATATGGCAGCCTTAATGTATTCAATCAAAATAAAGGATTTCATGTTACACTTTCAAAATTGTTCAATTGTTCAACTTTCAAAATTGTTCAATTTTGAAAGTGTGTTCATCTCAAATTTCATGGAAGGCAAATATAATTCATGTTAGGAAGTCTGTTTAAAAAGCTTTCAAATGATGCTGGTTTTGCATTTTCAGATTTACTTTTTGCTAATGGTAAAATGTTTTCTTCCAGTACTGTTTCACTGACACATTTGTTCACATTTCTTAGTTTTTGTACCTTCTGGAATGCAAATGTCAACAAACAGCTCATTATTTCGCAGCAATGAGCCAAACACATCTCTTTTTTCGACAACTGTCTTTGTTGTTCGCAGACTTTAAATCTTCTGCAATCTAGCCTTGGTGCAAATGTTGAACTTATCTGCTGCAAGTTATTGTTCCCGGTTCACACTCCGCGTTTCATCTGTTATAAAATACATCTTTGTCTAAAGATGTCAAAAAAGGAGAGCAGTTGAAACTCAGAGAATGGATCAAAATACAGTATGGTTCTCAATAATGATGAATAAAGAAATAAAAAAAATGTTTTTTTTTTTTTTGTTTTTTTTTTATCAGTTTCCCTGCAAGTTTTGCATGTGGTGGTTTATTTTAAACCTTTATAAAGAATCAGGTTATTTTCAGTAATTTGAGATTTCTTGGAAAATTACATATGTGGGAAAATATAGTTCCATTGATCCTAAGCTAACTAACATTAAAGACTATCTAATCCCCAGGGTTTCCATTAGATAATTCAGTAGATACTTGGATCCTTGTTCATTGACAAGGACAGTTACTGGTTTCGCTGGCTACGTTTTGTACGCCAATCTTGGTACTATTCTAAGGTCAAAACAAAATAAAAAAAAAGAATAATGCAGGGGTGAAATTGTTCTATGTGAAAAGCTGAAAAAAGCATCTTCACTGTGTGTTTACAGTCTCTGCAGATATCTTCAGATGCAATCTGTGATTAACTTGTTTATGCATTCTGTGTATGTTACCCATGAGGCTGTATCTTTTGGGAGGTTTAGCTATTTCCAAATGTGCATTTTGTGAATCCCTCTACAATTTTACCTCTATTTAACTTTTATTTTTAACTTTCTTCTCATAGGTTTTGGCTGTTGTCATCCACATGTCACAGATTCTCAATTTTATTATGACACCAAGCAGTTTGGAATACTTTACTTTTCTTTTTGTAACAGGTTGAGATTGGCATTGTGATAAAAAAAAAATATATATATATATATTCATGTAATTTAAGATTTCATGGGTCTTACAAGATCATCTAAAGTCCTTGGTTTAAAATAAAATTAGAAGTCTTTCTGTCTTTAAGCAAAGTGGGCAGAACTTGGGCAGCTTTGATCAGCATGCTTTAATGAACAGTTTACTCGAACTCATCAAGTAACTTTCTAAGGAATGCAACTTCACTCAGTGCTTGCATCAAATGCTTAAGGTGTTAATTTAGATTTAGAAATTTCAAGAAACAAAATCAAGATTTTTAGACTTCACCTCTTGTCTGCTGTGTCCTGCCCTTTAATATTTCAACAAATAATCCATTTCCTTACTGAAATATTTCAAGTCAAAATATATAGATTTGTCAGAGCAATGTGTTGTAGTGCGGTACGAGAACCCAAAGCAATATCAGCCTTGGATTTCTGTCTCAGTATTTAGCCGCGCTGCTGTACATTCTGACCAAGCTGTGGTAATATTCCATAAACACTGAACCCCACCACACCCTTCCCCCAGTAATCACCACTGATTAGACCCTGCACTCCCCAGTTTGACACTTGCCTGGCGCCATCTTTATTTTTGTGCTCTGCCTAGCAACAAGCATAAGCGCCATTTTGGTCAGGGTATACATAAGGTTTATATAAATACATCTTTTTTTTTTCTTTCTTTTTTTTTCTTTTTAGGGACATTCACTGAATTGTGACAGGGTAACCCCCCGTGTTGCTTTTGGGCTGAACATGATGAGAAACCCAGCTGTGTAACAGGGGGTGGGCTGTTTTGTCACACCAGGTCTTTTGCTTTTATGCATCATCATAACCAAATATGACATCTTGCGTAATTTACACTGTACAGCTGCCATACCTTTCTAGTGGCGGTCAGGCAGCTGGCAGTGGCTGAAACCGCTGTGTCAGCACTGACACGGACTGACCGATTGGGATTTTAATTGGATCTCTGGCTTTTTCCTGAACCTCCTCAGGTGGATTCAGAGGTGCTTTTGCCTCTCTACTAGCTTCTTTTTATCAGTACCCTGTCACCCTTCTCCTCTTTTTTCTTTTTTTTTTTTATAAGATTCTCTTATTCTTTCTTCTCATGAACTTTTATCCCTGTAGCTCCTGGCCATCTTCACCCTCTGTGGCTCCTTCATGATGGCCTTCTAATCTCTGCTAGTGTGGCTCCATAGTAAGTACTGTTGATATGCTATTCCAGATTCAGGCTCTGAGATGTATAGAGACTGACTCATATTAAATGGAACCAAAAAGTGGCCAACCTCCTGTTAAAATGCTAAATTCATGATAAATATCTTAAACCCTTACTCTCCCCATAGTGTGACAAATATAAGTACAAGACCACAAATATTCGAGTCTGTCAAAATACATCTTACTTGCTCATATTGGCAAGTTCTTAAAATCTTTAAGTCTGTGGAGAGTAATGACTAATAAGGGCAAAAGACGCATTAAAGACGTGCATTACTCAGCTGCCGGTCAGCGTCAATGAGAAATTCCTGTTAAAGTTTTAGCCTTGGTCTATTGAGGTAAACAGCAGAGCCCTGATTGGCTAACACACCAAAATAAGTCACTTCCAGTGAGGCTACAGCTCTTTAGAGGATCTATGAAGCAGCAGGGGTGGGTCATGAAGCTGGATGCTCGATGCTGATTAGCAAAAATAAGAACTTCTGACCAACACTGGCCAGACAGCGAGAAGTTTTTCCTCATGAGCCAAGAGGGAAAAGTGATCAATCAGTCAGAATAAAACTAAACAAACAACAGGGCAAAAATTAATCCTATAATATAACAAGAGAGCCAAAAAGCTACTGGTAGATGAAAACAGCGATCCTATCTCAACAAGGCTGAAGGTAAACATTTTACATCTTAAATTTTTAATTCAAGTAAATATGCAAATAAAAAAATAAATAAAACAAAACAAAAAAAAACCTAGGGATCAATTACCAGTTTCTGTGCCTATGCATATAATAATAATAATAATAATAATAAAAATATTATTTAATCTTTATTGATCTCACATTGAAGACATTTACCTCTGCATTTAACCCATCCCCTGGGGAGCAGTGGGCTGCCATTGTGCGGTATTATCAATCAAAATGTATTTAGTATTACGTCTTCAGTACAGGGGCACTAGCCTCTCTTTGCCCCTGTCTAGGACCACCCATGTCACCATAATCTTTAGCCAACACCACATATTTTGTATCTGATTCACGTTGGTTCTCTGGCTCGGCCTCTCCAGACCTCTTAATGTAACCTTCAATCAGAAAGATATAACTTTTGGCTCAATATTTGGTAGGAGGTTTGCCCTGTTTATATCTCAGGAAAAACTGGTTTACGTGCTCCTGACTGTTGAAGTGAGAGTGAACACCATGGCGAGATCAAAAGAGATGTCTACGGGCTTTGAAAGTTGTAGCAGGTTAAGAGTCTGGTAACGGACTTAAAGGGCTCCTAAAAAGATTTAAGTTACAGCTCCTTCATGGGTTTACAAAAACAAACTACAAGTGGAGGTCATTTGAAACATTGCCCAATGCCCAGGTCTTGCTGTTCAACCAAGATTCACCTGAAATCAGATTGAGATGCTATATAAGTCTGTAAAAACTCTAAAATGTTATTAGAGGACATTTAGCAGGCTCTTACAATTGTTGATATGGAAGCAATTACAAGATACCACAGACATGTAACTTTAATGTGCAAGAAGGAAACCTTGGCTCTCTAAGAAAAACAGATGATTGGAGGAGAATAGAACATTCTATTTACATTGCAGAGCAGAGGGCTTGTTTAGCATACACCAAACGCAGCATCAAAGGAAAATAATGCCATAACAACTGCAAGCATGGGGGTGCAAGTGTCATGGTTTGGGGATGCTTGTCTGCAGCAGGACCTGAGAATCTCACAACATAGAAACAGACATAGATTTTACGATCTAATAGAGGTTGCCTGAGGAAAAGAAAAAGAAACAGTCTTAGAAATATTAAGGTGAAGCAGATCGGGAGAGATCACGATGACCCAAAGCATATCAGTAAACCTGCAAAAATAACTCACCAACTACTTTACATATGTTTCTAGTTAAATTGGCAAATTGTTTGTAAATGGAACCACAGTCAAACTATTTGTTTTGGCATACAATTTTAGCCAATTAATTGAATTAGGAGATGGAAAGTCCTTGGCAGAGTCAAAGCACTAATGTGGATCCCATGCTATAGGGGACAAATTACAAGTTTATATTTCAATGCATATCATCATAGGAAATTAATTTAGTAGTATGCCTTCTGTACATGGGCACTGGGAGTTGGGAGTTAACATGCTGGAAGCCTCTCGAATACTCTACCACTAAACTTTTATTTCAGGGAAATCAGATCCAAGGGATTTGCAATGAAGGTGGAAGCATGTTTGAAATATTTCTATTTTTTTAGAGCAGCTCATGCATTATTTTCCAGCACGAGGTAAGGTAATCAGTTTCATGCCGAAATCACTTTTAATTGCCAGAATGAGAAATTATAAGCTTTAAAACAGGCAGTAGTTGTGGGACCCTAATGTTAGACAATAAAATCATTACAGTTATATACCCATGTTTAAAGAATTTAAGTCCCATATCAGTGCTCTTTTGATTTAAGCAGTTCTTTAAATTTCTATGGTGATCATCTGCACAGCGGTTTTCTGATTTTTGTGGTGCCAACCCCCCGTGTAGACCAGCCTACACCCGGGCTTATTAAACTAGGCTCCTTTTCTACTCTTCTCAATAGTAGCTGCTGTGTCAACTTAAGCTCAAGCCTCCCAAAAATGTTCAGTTCTCTGACTATTGTTACAGAATTTTACAAAAATGGTTGCAGCTGACTGAGGTATTGCTGAATAGCCAACATACAGCAGGATGGAACGAAAAGCCCTGCCTACCCTCATGTCTAATGCATGGTTGTCTTTTGATGCTTTGCAATTTACCCTGTGGCTGGTTCTTAAAAAGAAATCTTTTTTTTCTTTTGTCATTTATTATCCATGCCTTACATAACAAACTTCAACAGTGGAAATGAGACAGTTTTTCAAATACTTTCAGGACACCTTTTTAGCTGCTCCTAAAGTCTCTGTATACTAACCTTGATTAAAAAACAAAAAATAAAAAAATTAATTGTTTTTATGTTGTATTGGCACATATGTGTTATTTACATGCTACATAAACTATACATTAATAAAATCTTTTAGGAGTCATTCAGTATGTTTTGTTGAGGCAGAGGTTGTGCTGCATTAGCAAATCTTTAAAGATCTATCAACACCTCTGATCTCCAAGCGTTTCAGATATATTGCATCCTTTTTAGTCATTGACCAAAACTTTGTTCCTCCTGCTTCTAATCCTTCTACCAGACCCCTTGTCATCAGAGATCAACTCGTCTGGGCCTCAGTGTCCTCAGCTCACACACAAGGGCAGCTGGCAGCTTTCATGTATCGGCAGAGACATATGAAAATGCTTAAATATGCATATTTTAGCAAAAACTGCTTCTTTTATCTAGATTTGTGTTGTTTTTTTCAGAACAACTCTTGTATATGATCTCTGAGAAATGATCAGTTATATTTTAGAGCCCCCGCATAATGATTCACATTTTACAGAATGCATTTGATGTGTTTGTTAGAAGCTGTTACAAAGGCTTTGATTGTGCCTGCTAAAGAACCCACCGCTTCAGATTTTTAACAAACACATGTGCAGAGACGTTTTAATCTCCTGTTGTCTCTTAAAACTATCAGGCTTTTATTTAAAAAAAAATCTGATCTACAGTGAGACTTTCATACATGGTTTCTGAAATATCTGTTGTTTGAGTTCAAACTTGAAATACAGGGAATCACACTGATCACGATCCAACGTGTTTCAAAGCAGCGACCAATCGGAAGTGCTTAATTCTTGTCTGTTTTAGCAGGGATTGCGAGGCAGCTGTGTAATCAAGCCTGTGAACTCTACATCTAAAAGGAGGTTTCTCTTCTGAACACAGTCCTACTGAAGTCCATCCATTTCCAGAACATGGGTGAGCTGACAGGCTCAAGCTTGTGCCCGCTGGTTTGAAGCCATTAAATTAATATGTAGTGGACATTAGGCTGTGTGTAGTTTTAGTATTTGTTAAAGTGAGATCCCATGAGGCCACACTTTGGAGGCCTTTTGAGCGAGAACGTGAGGCAATCTTGCTGTTTGCCCTAAATGCTCCAACATCACCCCAGGGCCTAGTAGTTCTACAATGATGGATGTGGGACTGTGGGGAAAAGAGTGCCCCTTCCACAACACAGGAATTCCCCTTGGGCCTTTTCAATTACCTCTAGGCAAAGGTTTTTACTGCAATGATAAGTTGAATTAAGGCTGTGACGGTACTGAAAGGGACAAATGTGATTTGGTATAGTGTTGACCCTTAGTAGTGAGCTGCACAGACACAAGAGGGTGTATACATTTAGTTTTACCTTTTGCTCTCCCTTGCAAAGTATTCATACCTTTCATACATTTTCATGTTTTTTCATGTCCTATCTAATTACTTTAGTAAATTTCCTTTGGGATTTATTTGATAGAAAAAAAGCAGCAGATAACTGTGATGTGATTTATAGTTTTAAAAAGTTTTACTAATAAAAATCTGAAAAGTAAGTCATGTATTTGTATTTCCCCCTCTTTACCATTATACCTCTAAGTTAAAAACCCGTGCAATAACATACCTTCATAAATTTGATAAACTCCTTCCACCAGTGTATGAATTAACAATAGTATAACTGCAGATGTTTATTACATTAGAGTCAACATTCAAATCATTAATGACCATTGGCAAGACGTTAACATCACATTTGGCAGTTCTTTCAAGATAATAATCTTAACATGTGTCTTAAATTGCTTAATTAAAATGCATTTTTCAAACCTTTGATTCTCTCCTCCAGGTTTCCTCCACTGCTCTCGGCCACAGCTCCACTTGTCTCACCAGCATCTTCTTGATTCTGGCTGTCACCTAGCAAAACAGCAGCAGCCTACAGGTTAATTTTATGTTTCGCTTCACAACTAAAATGCAGATTTTGAATGTTCAGCAAGGCCTGTACATTCTAGAATAATTCTGATTTGTCATGACAACTTTAAAGACAGAAAAATGTTTGTGCTTCAAACTAGTTTACCTAGTTTTGCATGCTGTCACTATGTCCAGAGATTAGGAATTCTACGCATTTGGTGATACAATGGTAAGCTTATAAAATGTAATGTCCTCTGACTCTTGACTTACCTAAAGTGTTAGTTTTTGCCTTCTTAAAAATTAAGTCCTTAAAATTGCATTGTCTTTGCCCCTTGGCCGTGATGCTGTTCAGAGCACCATCACCTACTCCGCTGGTTGCGCCACAGCGGTCGAAAATGAAATCACATGTGCCCTCTAGGCCACTGTAATTTAGTCAGGCTACTTGTAAGTGCACAGCCTGCCAAATATTGAAAGAGCAATATTATTGCCAGTACTGTTAATATATAGTAGACATTTACACATTCAGTGATAAAATGTTACAGGAGATGGTAAGAGGGGGATGGTCATTTAAGAGGCGGGGGGGATTTTAAAGATTTCTTTAAGAAGGGGGATGCCACCCATCCCCCCCCCCATTGCACCTAAAATCGAGTACTTGGTATAGGCTTTCTGAGGTAGGCTGAGAGGTGTGATCCCCTTTAGTTAAAACACACCCTCCACCTCCAGTTCTAATGAAGAGGAACCACCAGTCAAGGCTGGTGGAGTTTTCTCCAGAGGGGGGCTATAAATTCAAAATAGATGTATACCACAAAAAATTCAAACCTATACTAAGTTATCACACAAGTATACTCATATGAATGCCAACAAAAAACATTATAGAAACACTTTATAAAAACAAGCTAAATCTGTGTTTTGCATGGTCCAATATGGTGTCACAGATGTAAAAAAAAATGTGCCAGTTTAATAACGAAAAGCTATTAGTCATGCTTTATACTTTTTTAATATATAACAACTCTGTTTGTTTTCTTATAATATGTTTATTTAAGAGTTTATTTTTGGTTGCAAATTAACAAACATCTAGAAAAACTAGAATGTAGTATATTATTTTCCATGTGAATCTCAGATTGTTTATTCTTCTTTGCCTTTTCTAAAAAGTACTTTAAATCAGTCCTACCTGTCAGAGAGATGTTTTAAGTCTGTCTGTCCAGACTGTGTCCACGTCAAATCACTCCAGTCACTTTAAAAAAAAAATACAGGGAAAATAAAAAAGTGCATTAGCTGTCCCACAGGCTGTCAGCTATGACTTACGCTAGAACCAACTCTTGCTAAAAGACTGGTTTTAGGATTTAGCTTTTCCTCTGTTCATTGTGTTAAATTTACATCGGGCTTGTCAGGTCCCGGCTTCTTTACATGGATTTTTTTCACCATCGTCCTTCTCGCAAAAGTGTAAATCCAGCAAAGATCTCACTGAAATGTGTGAAAGCTTCTCTTCAAGTTCAACTCATCGTCTTGCCATAATCCCCACCTCACTGCCTAAATGACTACTAGCTACATTACCTATATCACTATAGTAGGGGTGAAAATTCAAGGAGCTCCAAAGCCATTAATTATGGCAATGCTGATTGGCCAAATATTTAATAATTTTCCCTAGCAACATTATACAATTGGTTATTTTGCAACACTTCAGGGGCACTTTGAATGAAACACTTCAGGGGCACTTTGAATGAAAATCATATTACATGTAGCAACTATTAGGTAAAACTGGCATTGATAATACTTTTAAAATCTATATATATTATTTCAGACTATTCCCCTCCACGTCTAGGGAGGGCAGCGCCCCCCCTGTGGGCCAGCCGCCACCGGGAACCACCATCCCTGTCTGCCAGTCCAGGTGCACTGTCCCTGACCCTTACGCGATGTTGAAGAGGCCATGACAGTGTGACAACATCTAGTTCTCCAAGAAACTCATGGGCCATAACGTTTACAGTGCCTGTCATGCCAACAATTACCAAATCCGTTGATGGACACCGACAGTAAGGGACGCTGTCAAGCTGAAGAAGGAGTCCTATCGAGTCTGGCTGGCTTTGGGACTCCTGAGGAAGCAAGCAGATATCATGAGACCAAGCATGCTGTGGCCCAGAAGTTTGTGGAGGCAAAAACTCGGGCCTGGGAGGAATTTAGAGAGGACATTAAGAGGGACTATCGATTGGCCTTAAAGCCATTCTGGCAAACTGTCCAGCCTCCTGAGGGGAAAACAGTGCTTTGCTAACACTGTTTTCAGTGGGAGTGGGGGCTTGCTGACCTTGAGAGAGGATATTGTTGGAAAGTGGAGGGAAAACGTGGTGGAAGAAGAGACAGATAAAGTTGTGGACAAGATTAGAGTTTTATTACGTTCTAAATTAGTATCCTAGGGTTCAATGTATCATAGACCACTCTTCCTTTGTGATTTAAAGTGTTTTGCTTGCCATGAGTATTCTGAGGAAGAAGGCATTCTTCAGACTACTCATTCACATTCATTGCTCGTCACTCCTAGTGACATGATAGTGCCAGCATCAGACTATGGGATTACTTTTCTTCTGCAGTGATATAACAGCTTGTTACAACTGCAACAACTGTGCAGGGCTCTTAGAGGCAAGAGATCTTACACAATCTTAGAGACAATCTGTTAGAGCTTGTGAAAGATGTTATTTTTAGTCAGAGGTCCAACTTCCAACTGGACCACAGGCCTAACCATACAATTTTAGCTGCAATGTAATGGTTTGAATCACAGTATGTCTTTGCATTAGCATGGTCCAATCAAAGTCCAAACTTAAATTAGATCGGAAATATGTGGCAAGACTTTAAAAGTGGCACAAAAAAACACTGCCAAATTATTTCAAATCCCCATATACAGTAGGTTCCTCTGAAATTGAACAATGTGACATAAAACCACACTAAAGGTCATAGAAAGCTATGGGGGCCCAGGTAACAGGTGTAATCATTACTCTGACAGTAGATAATGAGAACTAACCTTGGGTGGACATCTACTATTATTTGAAGAGCGCTTATATAACATAAGAACTGTTACAATAATCTTTTTGCCAATTAGTACAGTATCTCCTCAGAATTAAAACTATGAACCCCGATCCTTTCCATAGACGAGTTTCCCAAAGAACAAGGAAGAAGTCATGGTATTTATATCAGTCTGCAGAGACAATTTCCCTTTCAAGATTTCTTAAGGCGGAGAATGAAAAAAGAAATCCATATACTATGCAACAAAGGCGTATGTCACAGTTTCTACAGTTCCATTATTAAAGTTGGGTATTCCTCATAAAATTAGCATTTATCCTCTGCCATGCTCTAGTAACAATCACTAAGCTTTGTGAACAGCCTTGTTCGGTTATTCCAAGAATAATGCAATTTTCTTTTTCCACTAGTTGTGTCTCAGAAAATGTACTTAGCAACAACGTATATTTACATGGAAACTGAACCCAATTGACAACAAAATCCTAAACCTTCTTTGAAATGTGTAAATGGAATGCAACTGAACTGGATCTTGCCAGACACAACCGAACAGCTCTAAATATAGTACTAGTTCAACAGCTTGGTACGGTTCAGTTGTGGCTCGGTTCTCTGATAACAAAGAGCGCATGAGCAGACGGAGTCCTCTCCTATTAAAGGTCAGCTGATTTTGCGGTTTTTCTGCTGTGTCCGGCTTTGTAATTCACAGATCTCCTCACCTGTTCACAACATTAAATTCTTCTTAGCCTATTTAGAATAAATGGTATCAAAATAGCGTGATTTGAACTGGGATGATTCTTAGGCTGATGCTCTCATTGAAATTTGCGTGGAGGATATTATCCAGGCACAATTCCTGAATGTCATGGTCACCACCATTTTTGTTTGCGTGATTCCCACCTTGAGAGCTGCGGTATTCTGGGTCGCCGAAAGGAGGCAAGGAACCATGCTATTGTGATGTGTAAATGGTCATAACGAACCAAGCTCGGTACAGTTAACTGATCCAAGCCCAGTCCGAACTCGACACGGATCGGTTTCAGAGGGGTAGTGTAAATGGGGCATATATCTGACTACTAAAGCTCTGTTTGGACGGGATAAAAGTTGCTTTTTTTTCCATGTGACAGTTCATGTACAAAAATACCACAGCAGAATGGTTGTTTGTGTTGTCTTTATTTTAGATGAAGCAACCCTGTTTCAAATGATCGCTTTACCTCCTCAGCAACCATCAAATGCTGCACAAGCCTTTTAATCACCTTTTCATTCAGGTCAGCTTTGTGGATGCAGGGAAACACCTAAAACATGTAGGAAAATTGGCCCTGATATACTGTAGGACCCCTGTTCTACAGTATATGGGCTTATAGAATGCTTCGAGTTGGCCAACATTTATGAGAAACTGTGTTTAGGTTTTTAATTAGTTGTAAGTAAGAAGCATTAAGATGAATTAACAGTTGGAATAAATCACTTGCTATATAATGTGTCTATATGATGAATATCACTCAGCATCTTGTGGCTCTAATCCCATTGAGTATTGTTGGTATTTTTTCATTTTGATTTAGCTTAAAGCTTTGCAAAACATAGTTGAATAAATGTCTAATTTTACTCAATAAAAATCTAGGCTTTGTTGTGAAGTACTGTCTCATTTGGATGTTTGTGTGTCTGTGTTCAATCTGTAGCAGCGTGGAGGACTCGAGTCCCAGTGTATTCAAGCTCACAGATCACAGAAGTTCTGAAAATCTCCTTGATCAATTCCATTTTTAAAATAACTTCCTTTGAACATTCTAAGTCACTTGTGTGTGCGTAGGGGGAGGGGGTGTTTATTTATAAAGACTATTTAGACAATCAAGGAGTTGAAAAATAATTAGGCTACCATGCATGTGCTTGGACATGTACTCCCTTTCAATCAGTTAAAAACCAGCTGTTAATTAAACTTCCGAGCTGCCCAAATAATTTTCTTATTAGCTACCACGTTCCTCAGATCTGATGTCAGAGGAGCATATTTTCTTTTTGGCTGGTTCTTTAGTGAGATTTTTTTTCCAC